ACACAAACAACCCCGGAAAATAATTCAATCAAAGGGAACTTACTGGATCAAATGGAGAATTCTGGAATATTATTGCTCATATCACTTTTCTTTCTTCTTTCATTAATTTTAATGACAATTATTGTTTCTAGGATTTGTTGACTCGAAGATATCATTTGCAAGTTCGATTCGGAAAATTATTCCTACACGTCTAAGAGTGAGTCAATTCATTGTTCGAAATGATTACTGTCGATAACCGAGTAATACTGTAGTACGGAAAATCTTTTTGACATCGGACCAAAATAAAAATCTTATTTATTGCACATTACACAGTTTGAAGGATTCGGGAGTTAGAAAACTCAGTGAAACGGAAACACATTCATTGACTAGAAAACTTTTATCAGAATTTAGTGTAAATAATTATTTCCTTCGGTCCGAATGAGAGAAATGTTTTTTATGGAATCTGTTTGAGTTTCCCATTGACGATGTTAAGGAATAGTAAAGTATGGTTCATTATTTTAAATATGATTTAGTTACTCGTAGAAATTTGGAAAAGACTAAGACGAATTTTCTAAAACGCAGATAGCTGGTGATAATTTAATCAGCAGTAGGATCGTAGGAAATGCTGTTCGGAAGTTCGGTGACATTTCAGTGACGTTATGCTTCATTGAGTGGAGATGCACTAAGTGATTGGAAAATACTATGTTTCTTATCAAGTTCTTTGCTAGAAAAGTATCAAAATTTTTCAGTTTGCACTCCAAAAAAACTTGATGTAGAAAATATTAAGTTTTTTTCAAGTGATTGGAAAAAATCAATCAACTTTTCTGTAAAGCCAAAGTTTTCTTTCTGAAATTCAAAATTTCAGATTCTTTTTAGTACTTTGCTAACCATAAACGTTTTCTTTATTAAAAAACATTTTTTCTAATTTATTGTAATTCTGATATTTACTTACAACTCTTATGTGCAAGGGAATTTGCTGTACTAATTCGTTTTAATTTTGCGAAAGAATTTCGTGAATCTTTATTCTAAATAATCATCAAGCGTGATTTTCAGATTATTTAAACTGCATTTTGCAACCACCCCGCGGTATTATTCATTAGCCACAGATTGCACTCCGCCACTATCTTTAATTCATGGAACCACATCCTTTGATACCAACAGCTACTACTTTAACAGTCATATCCGCTTCAACCATTGACATTTCCTTCGAACCCACTACAGTCTATTATTCCATTGCACCAATTTCATATACTGTTGTAAGCAGTAGTATTCCATATCGGGATATTACTGTAAGCGAGGACAATGTATCGAGCGAACAGGTTTCTCCCTTTTCGACTGATACATACTCGAGTACAAGTAATCCATCCAGCAGTGCCAAAGAACTTTCCGATGATGATCCATGGAATATCTGCAATGAATCAACAACGGAAATGTTACAGTTGAAGCATTCATTTAATATGAGTAGCGATTCAGACACGAATTTTGTTACAGCACAGCAGTTGCTACTAACCCCTAATCT